ATTTCATTGTGGGTATTTTTATTTGTATAAGTACCCTCATATATACAAATTTTAATATTCATAACGCTGTAATCTATACAATTAAATATTAAATAATGCCAACAATAGTATTTATGAAAACCAAATATGTATGTTTATATAATATTGTCGGAATACGTATTACATTAACCTCATAATACGTATAGAAGCGTATTCTAATCTTTAGGCGAGCTTGTGTGCGCACGTATTCCTTTGGTTCCTGAATACAACTATTCTCCGTTACGATCTCTTATTTCTCCTTTAGTTATTTACGAAATGCTTTCATATTTTATATTTAACCATTTTTTATATTAGAAATTAATGTGAGATGGTCAATCGTTTAAAATAAAAAAAAATAAAGGTACTTAAAAGGAAGCTAATATTGAAAATTAGCCATTTAAGCTCTGTTAGAGAATATCAATCAATTTTTCACTGATATGATGAATTTAAATGAATCGAGATAATCGTAAAAATGTGTTTAGTCCATTGTATAAAGTGCCACTTCCGGTTAGCCGATTTTGACGAAAAATTTGCTGTAACATCCCTAGCATATAAAAACCTTAAATATGCAATTTCACTTCCGTACGACTTTTCGTTTTTGAGCTAGACACTTAACACATACACACACACACACACACACACACACACACACACACACACACACACACACACACACACACAGACCATTTTGCGGGACTTGGTTATTTGGACTCAGGGAACCTTAATACGTGTATTTCCGTTAAAAACTCAGATTCAGCTCAGAAATTAAGAGGGAGACAAGTGGCCGAGTTCATGTGATAAACACGCGTTACCCAGCAGCCTGCCAAACCGTGATAACTTGATAAAATCTTGGTGTAAGGAGAAAGGGATCGCTTTTAATTTTAACTCTGGCATTGATCCCTCGCCCTCCTCCCTAAACAAGGAAAAACCCCTTATAGCCAAAAGGCGAGGAAGGGTGGAAAAAAAAAGAGTGGAATTGAGAATCTCCTTATTTCAAGTATTTTAAAATTGAATTATAATTATTTCCACTGTTTATTGTTTATTTTAGCTGTGAAACAAATCACTTAATAACAAACGATGAACAGTAATAGCGTAAATTTACATATCTTATAATATTTAATAATAGTAGTCAGAAAGTCATTTTTTTTTATCTTTGAATATGATCTTGAACAATGGATATTTAAATTGATATAATTATTTAATAAATTATCTTGCTTAAATAATTCATATGTGATGTAAAACTATTTTAATTTACCTAAAGACTGATGAATTAATAATTAACAATCATTATTTTTTATAATAAATACTTTTTAATTTAACTTACTTTATGCTCTAAGTATATTAGCATGTAGCACATATTACATAACTGATTAATTAATTAATATCTCGACCTACCCAAGCTCATACAGATTAATTTTTTGTTGTTAATTGATCTTCCAAAGCTACTTACTTCACCCATTTTCTTATTTCTTTTTGGTGGGTGTATTGGTTGATGTATCTGCTCTTTATATTTTGTAACCTTTCTCTCGTTATCTGGTTGATTTTCATTTCTTGTACCCATCTCTACCAGATCTACTTCTTTCAGTATGTTGCTCTTCCGGTTTATTCCTCTCTACCATCCACTCTTGATCAACATCTTACTTGATGTCTTCAGTCTTTAATTTTTTCAGCTTGGGTAGTTTCTAATTTGATGATATCTCCTCTTTTCCATTCCTACCAAACATGATCGAGGAGCTAAGAGCTTCACCACCACACCTAGTTTCCATATTAAATATTTTGTCAACACTCCTACAGACTCATTACTTAACATTTGATATCATATGTGATGGCAAATCTTTTGCTGATCGATCGAAATTCTTTTTTCATCTTTGCATTTTTTCCCTAATTTATTCCTGAATTTTATCATTTCAGCCTTGTTGTTTCAATTACAAATATTTTTACTCAATTCTGATTCATACACATCACCAGAGAAAGATCCTAAACACTAAGGATGTGGAGACTAAAGATGCAATTGGCCCAGACTTTCTTTAGCAAAGAAATATTTTTTGAATGAAGGAAAAATTGTAAGAATACCTGTTTCAGGCCTACAATAATAAAAAAGCCCAATATATACAATTGATATGGGATTCCTAAATATTTAATGCATTGATGTCAATGTTTTATGATTCTTCTTTTGTTTTTATGTTGGTCATTCTTTTTTCTATCAGCCAAATACCTATTAGCAAAGTCCTAACTGTATATCTTACATAATGTGACCAGAAAATTTAGTTTACAACACAAAAAAATAAAGATAGGTATAAAATATTTTTTGTATTCATTTAATTAAATAGAAAGGATGGGAGTAGCTCAGTGAGTGTTCCATTATTCTTGAGGAATTGGATTAGAATATGGAAGTGGCAGATAATTCTTTATTTTTCCTGTATATATTATATTTATTTATTAATTTCTCCTCAGGCAAAGCCTCTATAAAGTGGTTAACTTTAATAAATTAATTGGTTTATGAGAAAAACCTGGTAGTTGTGTATATTCTTGGCCCAATCTGTTGCCAAAAACTGTTCAAGAATTGTAGTGGTACAGATTTTTTTTTTTCATTTATAAATAAATCATCATATCAGTTTATAAATAATAATTTTATTTAAAAAAATTCTTTCCTTTTTAATGAAGAAGAAGGTAAAGAGTTGCTACCGGCAACACAACAGGATGAAGATAACTTACACTTTCTTCCTTAATATTTCATTCTGACAGGATTCAGAAAAATTAATCAGACTATACAATAAAAAAGTAGATACCGATAATGTAAGTAGATAGCAATGGAAATGACTGGGAATAACTGGTCAGATTATTTAAATTAGTTTGGAGATTAAGATAATTTAGGAATGAAAATAACCAAATGTGAATAATTGAGGTGTATATACAAAAATATATTTAAATCATCTGTTATAAATCTTGTAGGCTCAAGTTGACACATAATTTAGTTAATGTTTGAAAAAGATAACTCCTTAACTGAATGTCTCTTGGAACATTGTGTTTTGTATATTATCACATACAGGCTGCTAAAATACTTGTCTATCATACAGATAGCGAGGCAATATGGTCCTTAGGCCTACTTTTAACTCAAGAAACAGAAATAAATTTTTTGTGAAGGTGTTGATTTAAGATCAAATTTGAGAGGCAATCTTCTGATTCCCTTATTTTTTAAATATAAATTGATTTTCTTGGGTGATGTTATTTTAAGTATTCCTGTTGGAATTGAATCATGTTTCAGTGCATCTCTATTTGGCAAGGTTTATATCCCTGTGATTTATATTAATTGTGTGGAAATTCGTTTCTTAGATTTATTTAATGTAAGTAGTATGTAAATGGCACTATGCAGTTCTATAGAAAACTCGTTCTGTTTACAGGTTTTTAAAGGAAAAAATAAAAAGTAAGCTTGTAAATTGATCTACAAGCAGAATCTAAGATCTATGAAATGTTTCTGACTATAAAAAACTTAAACAAATAAACACATTGTTTATACTCATGAATTATTAGAATGTTGAGATTCGTAGAAGTAAAATATTAGTATATAAAAAAAAAATATATTTGTATATATATATATTTTACATGAAGTTTGATATTCATAAACAATGATAAATTTAAAAAAATAAATAAACTCAATTCATGTAAAGCTTTGGTTGTTTAAGGTAATATAATTAGCAATGTGGCCCACAAAGAAGATAATATTTATCTCTTAAAACTGTAGATGTGGCAGGAAGGATCTGAACCACAGAAAAACAACAATTTTATGATGGAAAAACTAATTGAAACTATTAGGTTATTTATTTTTTTGGAAAGGATAATTTTAAAATTAAATTAATTATAAAGATAATTGATAATCAGTGTCATCTTCTCTCATCCCAATTATGTTCCTTCTGATGGGTGGAAGTGATCCTCTTAATCTGTCAAAACTTAAAATAATTTGTCAATAATTAGGCTTTTCTCTCAATACCTGATCCCTCAGAGCTTGACTAACAGTTCTGCCTTATTTTTATTTTTAGTTATTACTCATATAGGGTTTTGAATTTCTATTCTTGAAATTTTATAAATATTATATACACTGCTTTATATTTTTTCTTCACATCAATTGGCTCACTTATTTTATTTTGCATAGGTCCATATGTTGGATACTATATTATTTCAGTATGTAGACAAGGAATAGCAATTGAATTTGATATAACATTCTTTTCTTGTACCTGAGTTTCCTTATTTCTATATAAGGAAAAAGAGAAGAACAAAAGAGCCTCATCAGAAAATTAGACGTTATGCCACTGAAGAATCTTTGGATTTGGAAGAAAAATTGGCAAACATTGAGGTGAATAAAAATTTTCATTAAACACCAAAAATAATTAATTGATGAAATTAAAATTCATATTAAGTCAGAAAAATAATGTATTTCATGGGTTCAAGGTAATACCTTTAGCTAGGTAATACCTAGAGACTGATCCTAACTCAAAACCAGAGGAGTAGCCGAGAGGCTTGAGATACTGTAAGTAGAGATCTCGAGGACACTACTGCCAAGACTGTCCTTGTGCAGTGGAGCTGCTCTGCTTTCGAATGAACATGGGATCGGGAGGTCGATCAAGATCCCTGGTAGCAGGTAGTAGTGCTACCAGTACTTCTATGGAGTCAAGAACGGTAGGAGTTGGCTGGGTCCTGATCAGAAAATCAACTGCGAGGGAACAAACCCCATAAATGTTGCAGAAGTCGGAGATGAGGTGAAAGCTGCACATAGCCCTCTTATATCTTTTACAATGGTCAAAGAAAACTGAACATCACGTATTACTTCCCAAAATGTGAAGAAAGAAGAAGAATGTATTTCATATAAAATTTGTATCATTCTAGTATTCTTTATTTATAATATAAATACTAGTTTGATGTCTTTAAAAGGATTTTTGGATTTGGATAAGGAATGCATAATGGGTTTATTAAATTATAATTATATGAGATCATTTAATACTTTACAAATTAAAAATATGATTTCATTAAATGAAATAGAAAATTATTATCAATGGAAATACAGTCGAAGGAGCCATACTAAGGATTTCTTTTCTTATTTTGCTAACATTTGTTGGATCTCATGGAATGTCTTTCCTGTAGTATCAGGTATAAAAAATATTGATCCGATAGTTGACATTATCATAAGAGCTGCAAATCTGGAATCAGAGTAATTATCTATTGAAATATTAATGACAATACAATCAAAGTATTCATCTATTGGAATATTGATTTTAAAACAATGCCTAATTGTATTTGTTTTAGTTTTTTCTGTAGGTAGAAGCAATAGAACGAATAGAAATCCTTCTCACTTATTCAGTTGAGCTACATGACAAACCTCAGCAAAACTTAATGACTATAGTGAGGAAATTCTTCCCAGAGAATTATTTTATTATTCATATGGAAATTCACTATCTTTTGAGCCAAACATAAAACATTGTTAGCTTTCCCATTTCCTCTTTTTAATTTTCTTATATCAGTAATATCTTACTGTAAATAATTATTTTTGATATTTAAATATTTGTTTAGAAGAATCTAATGCTTAATGTGCTTTTAATAAATTGAATTTGTTTAATATTTGTCTATACAATCAAATAAATAATATTCGGTACAATCAAATTAAATTAAATACTTAGTTTATGACTGTTAACATTTTATTTTACTTTCATGGATTTGATTGTTGCTATGGGCAATTGAAATCACATGGTTTGCTGATAATTCATTATATTTTGAAAAAATGAACAATGGACAGCAAACCAACTGAGGCTCATAACTGAATATCTATTGGAATGATCTTTCAAAGAAGTTGGCTGTTTGAAAAATTAAATATATTATTTTAAATATTTTTTATGTACCTGATACTATGAAGAACACTTTATCATAACTTATTGGTGTTATTAATATAAAAACTTTAAAATCATACCCAAAAAATGATGCTGAATAATCATATTTATCAGCAACAATTGAGAAGAGTCCAATGCAAACAAAACCTGTGAAGGAGCTTATAAAGCCACATATGCCAGTACCAACGCCTTTTATCGCTGGTGGTAAAAGTTCTGCTACCAAAGGCCAAACTAGAGGCCCCACTCCTGCAATAAATTTAAGAATTCATTGTTGTATATTTTATAATAAATATTGTTTTGTTAAAAGTAGTTTTGTTAAACTAGGATATATCAAAGATAACAAAATCCCAAGGAAAAGAAATCTCAAATTAAGTGTGTACAATGCTATGATAAAGCCGGGTTTGTTCTATGAATTATATGAAGGAAGTTTATATAGACAGGGCATGTACATAGCTCAAAGCAGTTCTAACACATGTACATAGCTCTAAACACTTTCTATCAATCCTTGCGGGATGTTTATTGTCGAAAGAGCATTCCGCAGTTCTTGTCTAGGGACCGAATCAAAGGCAGCCTTTAGATCTATAAATTCCAAGAAGATACTCTTTCCTTGTTCCTACGATTTATCAATGATTGTTCTAAGAGAAAATATATGATCTTGGGTCTGGCGTTTCCTGAATCAGCCTATTCCTCTCTAAGTCATTCTCGACTATCTCTCTCAGTTTTTTTTCCAATATTGAGGTATAGAGCTTGTACAAAATCTGGAATAGACAGATAGATCTATAGTTCTCGCATTCGTTAGCATTACCCTTTTTGTGTATCAGGAGAATTATGTTGTATTCACATTCCTTAGGGAAAGCTTTTTCAGAAATTAACTTCTGAAAAAGGCACTGCAATGCTTCCAATAGTTCTGTTTCACCATATTTGATGAATTCAGGGATGATGTCGTCTCTTCCTGCTGCTTTCTTGAGTCTTAATCTCTCCACTGCTGCTTCCACATCTTCCTCCCATATCACCTTATCATATTCTCCCTGTATACTTTCTCTGATCATTCTCTTCTCAACATCTCCAGAAAAAACTTCCTTGTAGTGGCATCTCCATCTGCCTCCCTCGTCCTTTACATTTCATATTGGTTTGCTTGTCTTTCCTTTCATTGCCTTGATCTTTTTTCCAGAAAACGTTGGCGTTTTCATGATAATTATTCTGCAGATTTTTACCAAATTCCTCCAAGCTCTTTCTTTTTGCCATCCTCACTATTAGCTTTTTTTCTTTTCTCCTTCGAACATAAAGTTCCCAATTGGATGGGGTCTTGTGCCTATGGTACTCCTTCCATGCAGCCTCCTTTCTTGCCACTGATTCCTTCACGTAAACCACTTGGATCTTTTACATGTAGCTGAAATATTGGCAATTCCGCTAGTAGAAGTAGCGGCCTCCAGTATGACTTTCTTTATTCCTGACCATATTTTATCTACACTTCCATCCATGATTGTTTCCCAGAGTTTAGATAGAATCCAATAGGTTTGTGTATTCCGCTCTTTTTTCAGGTTCCTGGAGCTGAGTAGCATCAATTTTCTGGTAGGTTCTTGGATGTTTCTTCCTAAAGGGATGAATTTGAGTATCTCCCACTAATAGGAGGTGGTCTGAGCCAATTTCTGCACCCCTAATCACTTTAATATCAGCAAATAGTTTTCTTACCCCTCGAATATAGATGTAGTAATCGATTATACTATTTACATTCCTTTCTTTAGCAGAAAAAGTTATTTTATGAATTTGTTTGTGTGGGAAGAATGAATTACCAATGAGCAGATCATAGTCAACACATAAATCAATCAGTCTTTGACCATTTCTATTCTTAGTGTGTTCACCTCCATTGTTTCCCATAACTCCATGTGCTTTGTATAAAACTGTTCTTTATCTAAAGTAATAGCTTCTTTGGTAGGGATATATACCTGAATAATGGTCTTACTTTTCCTATAGATAATTCCAGGTTTGCCGTAATTATTCTGGGAAATAGTGGATTCCAATTCTCTGCTTTTGCAAAGAGGCTGTCATTCATAATCAATCCCACATCTTCCTTCGCCCTCATTCCTGCAGGAACACCGGAATAGATGAGGACATGCTTTTTATTCAAATAAACCTCTCCATGGCCTTTTTTCCTCACTTCACTAATGCCCAGTAGATCTATCCTATAGGTCTTCATCGCCTCCACCAATTCCACATTATATCAAATGTTTTAATATTCCATGTTCCGATTCTTATATCGTTTTGAGCGCTGCATCGTAACTGATGAGTACATCCAAGTCCGAGGCAATTTAAGTTTCTTTGAATCATACAAATTCCACTATGGGTGATTAGTAAAGTAGAAGAGGCCCCGTATCCTCAGGACAACTGGTCTCCCAAATATTTGGGTCCCCTCGGGAATAAGGATGGCTAGGTTATACCTCCCAGCACTGGGGTACCTGTTGGTCCATGGATCTTTATTTGTTATATTCAGACCACCCCTCCTAAGAGGGATCCCTCATCCACCACCTGGAGGACGCGCTCCCTAGTGGTCAGGTTCCACCGAGAGCTAAACAGCTATACAAACATATAAATTTAACAGATTTGATAGCCAGGAAAAACTTAAATGGTGATTAATTGTTCTAAATGAAGTTATAACATTGTTTTAAATTTGACTTCTCTATGTATGAAAATACCTATCTATTCTAAGGTTGGTAAGTGAAAGTTGTGTGATGCGCACACTGCACCAGATTTTTTCTTAATGGGTTAATAATTTACCAGGAGTCAACTTTGAGGAAGTTGTAATTATTATTATTTGAAAGATATTATCACTAATAATTTTTGATAATTTATTATATTTTAAAAATATTCCAGCTATGTGATTTAACTAGATTGGTGAGCTAAATGAATATACAAACAAAACAGGAACAAGGAACATTAAAACCAAAATTTCTTTAAAAAAAAATTGTTTGGTCATGATGAATGTTATGTAAAGTGTCTTACCAAGGCCAATAAATAAGTTAGCTCCTACAGCAGCGACTACCGACAGGTAGCTGCAATAATATAAATCTACTCCATTGTTGATGAGGTAAAAATATAAGCTAAGAAGTCCCTAAAAATAAAGAAAGAAATCATACAATCAAGTTTGAGCATTATTTTCAGAAAAATTTAGGAATTTGATGAATCCATAGAAACATTTTAAAACTAACAATCACAAGAGGAGGGAGGATGATTTCAACCAAATTTTTTTGGTGTTTTTACATAAAAAAATATTTGATAAATGTCCTGATGTTTGTTTCAATTGGCCGTAGGAATCGAGAAAAATATTTTTTACAAATTTTCAAAAAAAGTTTATTTATTTGTTTTGCCCGAATTTCTTGGTCATTATATACCAATCTATTTCTATTAATAAGATATACTTACCAATCTAATATTTATAAACATTTTTATATGAAATAGTATACATACATACAACACAACTTTTTAGATTAGTTTTCTCGGATTTTCAGCAAACATTTGTATTGGGTTGTGTTTTACAACCACAGTTAGTAGTACAACAGTGCTACAAGAAGGCTTCCTTTTGATTGATTCATGGCTAATGTAACAAAATAAATAATCATACAGCCACAGCTGGATATTAACTGGGGCCCCTAGAGAATAATCCCACAGTTACTTACTCACAAAGTTACCCATTCCCTCATTTTCTTATGCTCAGTAAACAATATAGACAATTATACTTAGTGGTAGTAACAAAAAAAAATTGTTCTGGACCACATTCTTTTTTAAGAACACCAGAAAGTTGGGACTTAGACACTACTACCGGCGCCTCCTAAGCCCGGGGCTATAAAATGGCTTTTGCAGCACTGATTTATTTTATTGCTTATTTTCAGTCTTCCAGAAGAGAAAAATAAAATCTGTAGATGGTAAATATATTTTAAAAAATCATCAGTTTACTTACTGTTAATATTCCGCAGCCGATTCCTGATATAAGCATTGCAGTTTTTATTGTTAAATATCTGTTGACTAAAATAACTGAAGCGAAGCCAAACAAACTCGAAAATAAATATATTACAGGAACAATGGTTGCTGGAAAGTTTAAATTTGCATTTTCAAATATTGTTTGACCATATGCGCTTATGGGATTCCCGCATGCAAATTGTTGCATCATCACTAAAAATATGCTGATACCAATGGCCTTTAATACTGCTGGCGTCTTTATTGCTTCTTTAAAGCTCATTACACTGCTTTTCTCATTATATATTGTTTTCTAAAAACAAAAGAAGAAATAATAATATTTTAATACTTGAGGGAAATGAAAAAAAAAAAACTGTGGCAAATAATATAAATGTAGAATTGAAAATAAATGATCCTGGCTGTGTTTACGTATTAAGAGTAATCAATTCTCGAGTGATCATATCAGCTAATCAAAAATAAATATCTATGAATATTCTTTCATATGTGTAAAAGATCAATGGAGGTGAAGGAATATACAATGTTCAAATGATGTTTTAGATGAAGCTTTACAGAGAGTGATAGATGAGAAATTCAAAAAAGAGTGAATCACAAATGATATAGCTTTTTCAAAATATGCAGTTCTATATTATTATTATTAAATGGCACTACATCCCAATCACTCAAGACTTGGCCTGCTCCAGCATGGATCTCCAGTTCCCTGGTTAGTTGCTGCAGCCTTCCAATTTCTGACACCAAGTAGTCTAGATGCATCAGCAGCCATACAGTCTTACCAGCGCAAACATGGTCTTCCCACTCACCTGTTTCCATATACTAGGCTAGTTCATAGCTCTCTGTGGGGGGGCATTGATATCCATACGCGCGACAACTACCAGTACAATGAATTGGCTCACATCCAGGTCATTAAATAATGTCTTGATTCCAATATTCATTCTCCTCCTCCTATTGTGTGGTGTTTCCTGGACCATTCCGAATATGCGTTGCATAATCCTCCTTTCAAATCTGAGCAGGGATTTCTCAAGTGCTTTAGTTAAGGTCCAACTCTCACAGCCAGTAATGGTCTAATGAGTGTTTTATATATTCTTATTTTGGTCTGTCTCAACAACATTCTACTGTGAAGATGACTCTAGAGGGAGAAATAGCATTGATTAGCCACTGCGATCCTCCTGTCTATCTCAGCAACAAATAACAATCAATGTTATTTCGTGAATTTATCAGTGACCCCAGATATGTGAATTCATCAACATTGTCGATTCCACGCTGCTCCAGCCATGTTTGGTTTTCCCTTGTTATATGTGAGGATAGGGTGGACATATATTTTGTTCCTGCCTTACACCTGTTGATATTCTAAACCCCTTTGATAAATCACATTGTACTCATACGAAACACTCATTACCCTCAATTATCATTCTAACAAGCCTTACAAGTTTTGTAGGAACATTCATTTCTATCATTGCTTTGTATGCTTCCTCACGATTTATGGAATCATATGCTTGCTTGAAATCAATGAAGATGTGATGTGTACCAATTTGGTATTCTTTGGTTTTCTCCAGGATTTGCAAGGTGAATATTTGATTGAGTGTTGATTTACCCTTAATGAATGAGGCCTGGTATTTTCTGATTTCAGCCTCGCCATAAGTTATTATTCTTCTATAAAGAATCCTTGAAAAAATTTTGTAGGCGGTGGGTAGAAGGCATATATCCCTGTAATTATTACATTGATAGACGTCCCCTTTTTTGTACACTGGGCATATAATGGATTTTTTCCAATCACTTGGAAGCTCTTCATCAACCCAAACGGCATGAAACATTTCCTGGAAGAGTTTTATGAGTTCTTGACTATCATGTTTATAGAGCTCTGCAGGGATGTTGTCAATGTCTGGGGCTCTATTGTTTTTAAGTCCTTCTATGGTTTCATTGATTTCTTCCTCGTCTGGGGGTTCTAACTTTTCACCACCTGCATTTGGATCATTTGCCTCTGAGACATTTGTGTCATTCCTGTTAAGAAGGGTTGAAAAGTATTCAGTCCATTGGTCCGAAATGCCTTGTTTATCAGTTACTAAAGAACCATCGTTTGTTCTGCATTCTGTGGTACGGGCAATGAAGGGCTTTCTCCCTTTATTAACAATCGGGAAGAATTCTCTGGTATTTTTGGATATGAAGGCCTTTTCTATCTCCTGTAGACTCTTATTCTCCCATCGGCTTTTCTTCCTCCTATGGACATGTTTCTCACGCCTTCTCGTTGCTCTGTATTCCTTGACAGAGCTCAGTGTGTGCTTTCTTTGCATCATTTTATTGTCTGCAATATTTTTTCTCTTGGTCACAGCAGCACATTCGTCATCAAACCACGGGTTATATCTCTGCTTGGTCTTATCCCCTACAACCTCGTTTGCTACTTCCGTAAGTGGAGTGCGGCATGAGTTTCATTGTGACTCAAGGTTTGATTCTGAAACAGAGCTCCTTAATCTGATGTCCAATAGCTGTGAGAATCTATGGATTGTGTCACCGGCATTTAACTTTTTAATATTGTACTTTGTCAGAGAACGTCGAAGCTGGTACTTCACTGTCGATATCCGACACCTTAATTTCGCAATAATAAGGTAGTGGTCCGAGTCAATGTTAGCCTCGTGCGAACATCAATTAATGAGGATTTATATCTGGTGCTGACGAGGATTTGAGAGCTTGTAATGGCTCCGTTCCGTCCGAATTTCCTCCATGTTTCTTGATGCACTAACTTGTGGGGGAACAGGTACTTCCCACAATCAAACCCTTAAAGGCTGCGAAGTTCACCACCCTTTAACATTGTCCTTGGAGTTCTCATGAGGCTTTTTCTTCCTATAGTAGGCCTAAAGCCTTTCTCTTTTCCAATTTGGGCATTATAGTCTCCAATCATTATTTTCAGGCAGAGCAGTCATCAAAGCATTTCTCCAGTTCCTCATAGAATTCATCTTTCATTTCATCACCAGAGACTTGTATAGGCGTGTATACACAGATGATGCTGACATTGTAAAACTTTCCTTTGTATGACAGAGAGTCTGGGGCTGATAGGCTTGAAATCTACAACTAGCTGGGTCACTCTTTTTCTCACAATGAATCCAGTTCCAAACGAGTGTAATCGGTTATGACAACTGTAATAAATGGTGTGCTGGCCTTTCTTCAGTCTGCCTTGTCCAGTCCACCTGATCTCTTGGATGGCCGCTATGTCTATTGAATATGTGTTTAAGATGTTTGCAATTCTATAGGAGAGGAAATTTAAGTTTATGAGTTGAGACCTCATTTTTTTCAAAAAGTGGATAAAGGAATAAAGAATGAGAAGATCTAGAATATATAGAGATCTTTAGTCTCTTGAAATTGGAATAGACATAAACAAAGCAGTTATCGCCATAACAAATTATGATAATTTACACTTATACTCGGCATCCATGATTGAAGATTTTGTCATATGTGATCCCATTCTAATTCATTGATATTTCCATTAATCTATTACTATTATGTAAAATTTATTTAAAGTTAAATACACCTTAATGACATTTTAATAAATTATGACATTAAAAACCTGATATTCACCATTTTTACAATATACAATATCATTTCATTAATGAACTAGGAAATATTCAAATTTGTAACCTGAAATCAGGGCTGCAGTTAGCCGTCCTTATGGTCTTATTTTTATCTTCTAAAGTGTTGATAACTAATTATTTTATTCATTATCAACATTTTTTTTATTTCAATTTTAGATTATTCTATGTAGATAATGTTAATCACCTCAATATAATTTATTTCTTCGTCTACTTTCTCTTGAGTTGTATAACATCGCATCTTCTGGAGAGATGCTGATGCCTCCTTTCTCCTTCCTTTTCTAATGTAGTAATAAGGAGATTCGGGAAGAAAATAAAATAATATTAAAAAGATAACAGCGACAGATATCCCATAAGCCGATAGAGTATAGTAGTCAACTATAGGTCCAATGCAGTATACCAAGAGTGCTCCAAATGCTATAAACATGAAGCTTAGAGATCCCAAACGACCTCGTATGTCAGTCTGAAAGGAGGATTGTTTAATTTTTTTACAATCTTTAAAAATTTTAAAATTATTTTAGAAACATACTATAGCAATTTCAGAGACGTAAACAGGAATCCCTGCGCAGGCTCCACCAACTCCAATCCCTCCCACCAATCTCGCAATATATATAACGTTGATATTGGTCGATGATAGTAGGAGTATCCAAGAACTGACAAAGAATAACCACACTACATATAGTGTTCCTTTTCTGCCTATGGTATCCAAACACAATGTTATAACAAAAGGTCCTGGTGCGGCACCTAAGGAATATAGAGAACCAACCAAAGATGATTCGGTTGATGTGAGGTTCAGCTTCGGCAACATTGGCGAAGACCATCCCATCACTGCACCAGTTGACAAGTGGAGAAGGCTTACTGTAAATAAATTAACAAACATGAAATTAATGTATACACTAAATAATTTTTCTTTTTAGGAACATTATCATTGTTAATTTCACCCACAGTTTGGCATCCATTAAAGGGATAGTCAGCTATTTTCTTGTTAGTATTTAGAATAGGGAGTGAAGTAGCTCAGTGGAGGATACTGAGCTTCCAATGCTAAAGGTCAAGTCCAAATCCCGGTTCATGGCAGAAAAATTATTTATTATGTTTCATTGGTCATGGGGCGGCCCTGGGTCGGTAGACTCTCCTGGTGCACATCCAGCCTCTATGAAGTGGGTACCCTTAATTAAAATAATTAATCAAAAGGAAAAACCTGGCGGTTGAGTGCCATCGTGGTCAAATCACCTCCTTGCCCGTAGAGCAAGAAACAGTGCTTTTCCTAAATAGTATTAAGAAGCTCTTACTGGTCAGATGGAAAAACCTTCTCATGACTTTATTATAAACATGCCATTTCATTAAATCAGGGATTAGATTGCTTATTAGGATATTTTATATTATTTCCATGAAGGTGATTAACAGTTCCTTTAAGAAGTTAGTGGAATTTCAAATATTGTTGAAAAATGCTGGAGTCCTGTTTTTCTTGTTTATCATCTTAAAAATTAATCAAAATTAAAGTAATTTAACTAGAAAAAATCAATTCCAGGAAAAAAATTCATCCTTTATCATTTTTATACTACAAAAATAAAACTTCATTGGCAGATTTATTATTTATTTATTTAGTTGAAACAAATTTGTTCCACAACAGCTGAAGCTTTGTCCCAGTAGATGTGATTTTTGACCTTATAATATTTTTGAGAGGTAATGTGTTCAATATCAATCAAATCATCTGATTTATCTTGTCTGTGATTCATTTTATTTTCACTTATGAGTGTATTCAGGAAGTTTTTGTCATACAATATTTTCCATCCTGACTAAGCTTATTTGTTTTAAACCTAGAAAAAAATTTATTTCAGGAATCTTTAGTTTGTCATGCTATTATTATCATCGCTTTGACACTAACATTTAAAAATCTGTTCATATCTTTCTCATTAACTGTTTATTAATCATGTAATATTTTGATTTAAAGAAGAAAATAATTGATTATAAAAAAAAAATCAGAGTTTTTTCTTAGCAACATTAGACATTCTTATGTCTAGGCATTTCTATCATATTATTTGTTAATTTTAAACTATGGTTTAACATAGATATCCTGACCTGTTGATATATGGAATAATATTATCATGTTTAAGGATACATTTAATGTCTGGTTATAGCTTGATTGATACCTATATATGTGTGTTGGTATTTTATATTCTGTTCCATTATAGTATTATGTTTTAATTTGTTCTTTAATACTGATTGCTAAATACATATTTTGATATGAGTGAAATCTACATTATAGTCAGCAATAATAATTATAGTTTCTATTCAATCCCATTTTATAAGGATACCATTTAATTATTGTTAATGTTCCTTGAATTCTTTTTTAAATTTCAACTCAGTGATACAGACAGGAACCAATTTTTATTTCAATCAATGAATAAATCAACTTCTATTATTAAGAATAAGGAATAATTGATTCATTTGCTGTTCCTTATTTTTATGTTCTTATTGGGATTCATCAATAGAATAAAACTATGATCAGGAATTCACTTTATTACTTTAAAAGTATTAACATCAGGTACATCACCTCTAGCTTCTATGGTTCCCCACGCTACACTGGCTTGGCATCCTCCTGCCAAAAACAGTGTTGCCATAATCCACTTTTCAAACACAACAATAATAGTGGATAGTCTACAACACCCCTCCCTCCTAAGGAGAGAAACAACAATATACTTTACAAAAGTCTCCTCAGACAGTTATTACCCTGAGGTAGGTCTTTAGTACTTGTCAGATATAAATTGTATATATACATATATAAATTATTAGAAATAAATCTATTATTATTACTATTATTACTTTACATACGTAAGAAACATTATGGTGAATATAACACAATACAAATGAACTAGCATGGTAAATCAAATATACAATATAAATTAAAAGTCATATTATACAGAATTGTTATTATCAAAATGCTTATATGTACATTTTCTACGGACAATCGATTTTCCTTAAGGAAGTTAATTTTGCGAACCATCATACACCAAGGTTATTCTCTAGAACAAGTAGGTGGTTGGGAGACTCTACCATACCTAGTTACACTGAGTTCCTGAGGTTGCCTGGAGGCAGATCCGTGTCCAGGATGTCATTTAATTTCTGCGAACTTGTAAAAGGGGCTCTCTCATAATGCTAGAGTGTAATAAGCTCTACTTGATGAATGAGTCGTGTTCCTCTTCATGGGAATCTTCAATCTCTATGCTGGTATTGGCAATTGAAGGTTGATCAATTGGTTCCTGCTTTGAGGAAGGCTTCTCATGGAGATTACCTGAGGAGCTCTGATGAATGATGAATGAAGCATTTATAGTTCAGAATGAATCATTTTAATTTGATATAAAAGTGGAAGATGTGTGGATGTTCTAAAGTGTTAATGATAAAAGTGAAAACACCATTTTATAGATGAGCTGCAATAAATCATCCTCAAGCTCAACTATTACCCAGCAAGTATTAGTGAAAGGGAAAGGTCTCAGAACTAACTAATGGGTAACGATAATAACCCTAGAGACTCAAGCTTGGGAAAGCAGGAGGGGAGATCACCTCTCCAGAATTCATTAATTAGGCCAGAAGGAAGATAATTAAGGTACTGCAGAACCTTTTCCAGATATAGGAAGATAAGAAAATTCCTGAAGAATGGGAATACAACATTATTATATTCATTGACAATAAGAAAAGAACAAGCGAGTGTTGTAAATGCTGACCAATATGTCTCTACTAGGTCATATATAAAATATATACGTCAATTTTAGAAAGGAAGCTGATACCATTAGTCGAGAAAAATCTGGAAAATATACCTTTCTGCCCTCGATGCCAAACCCATGACCATATCTTTGCATTAAGAATGTCAATCAAGAAAATCTGTTCTGTTGTATGGATCAGAGAGTTGGGTACTCCTGGACAACAAATGAAGCTGAATAACTGCAGCAGAAATGAAATACTTGCACAGAGTGGCTTCCAAAGCCCATAGGAATAAGAATAAAACTATGAGGGAGGAACTGTATATTTCTTCGATGAAGGAGATCCTGGAGAAGAGACAGTTGGACTAGGACAGAGATGTGTGTAAGATAAGCCCTGATTGTGACCCATTCAAGTTTATTGAGGCAAGGCAGGCATTAAGGAAGATCTATATTTCCAAGTTGAGAAAGCGAGAGGAAAGACATTGTTAGAGATGAAGTTTCTTGCAAGACACAGAGCATGGATAGATGGAGATCCTGGATTGGACTAAATTAACTCAACACTGAAAGGCACAGGGAGAAAGTTAAAGAAGAAGAAGAAGAATTTTTTTGAATATTTCTTGTATATAGGATACTGATTATATCTTAAAACTTACCTATAATCACACCTAGGTAAGCTCTGAAATATGAGGGCTTATCTTTTATTGCAGTTGTGTTGATGCTAGATTCTGAAGTGTCCATTTTTCTCTGTTTAACAGTAATAATAACATTGATTCACCACATTATTTTCTAATCGAGAGTATTAAGATTGAAATTATAATCTTTCAAATAAATTAAACAAAATGTTAAAATGAAAAATATATTTTAAAATTAAGAAGTCTACAGTTTTGAATTAAATGAGATTTTGTTTATTTAATATATCTTAAACATTACTGATAATATTTTTGCTTCCTCACTACCAAAGGTAGGGAAGCATTTTTTTGCTTCAAGATTTCAATAAAAATCCTAGTATGCCAGAAACTGATAATATTAATTATTTTATTAATGATATGAGTCAATGAGTGTCAGACAAAAGAAAATGTTGTGCAATTATGCTTCTTAAATACTCTTAGATTTATGAGTTATTATGAAAATAACAATCTTACATTTTTGATGTAATTAATTTTTTAATAATTTGATTTTTCAGTTATATTTATAAAAGAATCTGGGTTTATAAAAGTCAATTTATGTATTTTTATCCACTTTATTTAAATATTTCACTAATATTCATGATTAAGTCATGTTATTATAAGATAGGTGTAATCCTTGAAAATGTAGACCACATTTTCTGTACTTCAGTGCTTACCTATATCAGTGTATGCATTTTGTTCTTTGAAAATAGAAATTAATGGTTATTTGTTAAATAATAAAAATTGTATCATAGGATTGCATGCAGTACATAATACGAGAAGCCTTGTGACCAGGGTAATACTGTATATGAGACGAATATAAGAATCAAACCTCAAAATTAATGCTTAACACAAAATTATGGATTATTTCTTTCCAGATTTAGAGAATTGGTTTGAAAATTTACCAAAGTCAGCTTATATTTCTCATCTCACTCCTAAAGTATCTTTTGTAGTTCATGTTAAGGACTTCTTTTTAGTTAGGCTAATTTATGATTTGAAACAAGATTAGATTGGTATAAAAATTTTAAAAGAATTCTTTCATATTAGGTTCTAATGTATTTGAACATTTCGATTAGTATGCAAAAGTATATAGAGTGTGATAAAGGGTAACAGTAATAAAGGGTAATATCTGGGTGGAAAAATTGTAAAAGAATTAAATATTTCTATTGCCTTAGGTCTACTGAACTTTTTTGCTTGAGATTCAGATCTTCCGCCTGATAATCTTCCTGGTAGTGCAATTGGTTGCCTAGAATGAGAGGGGATTAAGGGAGTGTACTATTATGTTTTTTAAATATTTAAATCACTAGTATTCAAAATAAAATAATTTTTAATTTCATAATTTTTATTGGAACACGAAAAGCTTACAAGGAGAGGATACAGTTTGTGGGTCACTAATTTCAACAACTTTTTTTTTTGTGATACTACTTCGAAAAATATTAGAGATGTGTCCCAGGTTCTTTCTTAGGAGCCAAGAAAAAAATATTTTATATAATTTCAAACAAAATTTATTTTTTCTTTTACTTTGTCCGGATTTTTGTGTTGCTATATATCAATCGTTTCGTTTTTTTTTTTGTTTTTTTTTTGTGGAAAATATGAAACAATATTAACTATTGTATTAAATGAGTTATAATATATCATAAATTACAAAAACCAAAAAGTGCTTTTGTAAAGTCAAGTAAATTTTTGTCATTAAAAAAAAATTAGATTCCTTTTTAAGGCCCTTTAAACTCTTAAATACGAATTCTTACATGAATAAAAAAATACAACCTTTAGTACTTGATTTTCTTAGATGAGTTTTTTCCCGCCGTCAACTAAAGCATTGATAACTCCTCAGGACTTCTTTCAATTTCAACTTTAATATAACCATTGGAAAGCTGAACTACTGTTCTTACATCTGAAACCAATAACTTTTGAATTTAATTCTTTTAAAGCTAGAAATTGAGAAAAACTTCCAACTCATTGTTATGTTATACCTCACGCCTGTAGATTATCATTTTTTTAGACACCTGGACCCCTACTCACGTGACAAAAAATTTAATGGACAAAAGGGAATTCGAAAATTCATTTTTGGAGTTTATAAAATCTAAAGATGTGAAATTCTATTCCAAGGGAATGGAAAAGTTGCCAATACGTTGGCAGAAATGTATTGATAGTAGTGGAGACTATTTTGATTAAATAAAACACTTGTGAATCTTTCTTTTTTAACCAAAATCCTGCATTATTTTCCGGAAAACCTAATATTATAGCCTCCTAGAGTAAATGTCACGCAGTTTACTACTGCGATCAACTAAACTTCGTTTTTACTTATCAGACATATGGGCTATAAGAAACTAGACCATTGACGAAGGCCGGCGAGAGAAAAAAGTTAGTTTTCGAAAGGAAGATCCTACGGCAGATATTTGGTCCAGTGAAGGATACTGATGAATGAAGAATTGGAAGAAACCAAGAATTAGCCAACTTATACAAGGAGCCGGATGTTACGAAATAATAGCTTAAAGGTTAAAAAATGAAAAGACTTCGTTGTATGGATTACAAGAAAAAACCTTTATACATAAATTTGAGTGTATTAATATTACTTCAAGTATACACTAAATTATGTTACCTGCTAGTAGGATTTTTAAATCACTGTGGTCTCTAATGCACCTCTAAGTCAAATGTATGTACTTTTGAATTTGTACAAATACTTTCCTCATTTCATCCCCTCCTTCGAGATTTACATTTGACCTCTCTCAATAAAAACATCATAATTGTTCCATTGTTTATTATATATCGTTATAAATATTTAATCACTATTAATATGATAAACAATATTATAAAAACTATCATGACATTTACTACTAATAACTGTACAAAGTATTCAAACCGGAGTGCAAAGATAGGAATTTCTTACTAAGATTTATTTAATGTATTTGAAAAATTTATTTGCAATTTTAGGCTAACATTTTTATTTTTAGAAGTGTTAAGTTACATTGAGTTATTATTTTAATTTTTTTATTGAGTAATATAACATTCTGTCACCTGGATTATGATTATAGTGAAGAAAGAGTACATTCACACCATATATACAGAACATATAAATAAATAAATTAGGAAAGAAGACAAATAACAACTATACCATAATCAAAATGAATATTCAATAAATCAATTTCTAACTTTAACATCTAACTTTCTAAAGCGTGGTGACATTAACATCCACATGGTGTTTATTTTTAAACATCAATTGAAAACTAGGTTAAATCTGAATCGGATTAACTTATTTTTTTCAATAACCTCTGTTTATTAATAGACTATCGAGAGCCACTAATTTGGGGCAAATGCCTGATTTATTTATTTTAAAAATGAAAAAAAAAATTCTAACTCTCCACTTTATTTTTCAACTATTATATATACAAGTACACCCAGTATAATATAATATATATATATATATTTTAAGCTTTGTCCTTGCCCTACCCCATGGCAGAAAAAAAAAAATTATTATGACTATCTAAAATAGTAAAAAAATATATTTAGGAGAATATACTATCAACTAAACCATTATAATTATTAAGAGTGAATGTGTACTTTGAAAAGGGAATAACCTGGTGGTATCACGTATATAAACAAAAAAAAAGTCGAATTAAGAGGAAGATGAAGTGGCCGAGCGCATGTGATAAACACGCGTTGCACAGCAGCCTGCCAAACTGCAGATTACGTGATCAAATCTCGGTGCCGGGAGGGAGAGATTGCTTTTAATTTTAACTCTGGCATTGATCCCTCGCCCTCCTCCCTAACCAAGGAAAAACCCCTTATAGCCAATAGGCGAGGAAGGGAGGAAAAAAGAAGAGTCGAATTGAGAATCTCCTTATTTCAAGTCTTTTAAAAATTAATTATGAGGATTTCCGCTGTTTACTGTTTACAAATCACTTAATAACAAACGATGAATAGTAATAGCGTAAATTTACATCTTCCTTCCTTGGTTTTTATATTATTTAATAATAGTAGTTTCAGAAAGTCAGTTTTTTTTTTTATCTTTGATTATGATCTTGAACAATGAATATTTAAATTGATATAATTATATCTTGCTTACATTATTCATATTTGATATAAAATTATTTTAACTTTCCTAAAGAGTGATGATTTAATAATTACAAATAATTGTTTTTTAAAATAAATTATTTTTAATTCAACTTAATTTATGTTCTAAGCATATTACATTATGTAACCCGTATTACATTACTGATTAATTAATTAATATTAATCAGATCTACCAAGCTCTTACAGATTAATTTTTTTGTTTTGTTAATTTGTTAATTCTTCCAAAGCTACTTATTTGACCCAATTCCTTATTTCTTTTCGGCTGCTGTTCTGGTTGGTGTATATGCTCTTTATGTTCTGTAACCTTTCTCTCGTTGTCTGGTTGATTTTCATTACTTGCACCCATCTCTATCAGCTCTACTTCTTTCAGTATGTTGCTCTTCCTGTTTATTCCTCTCTACCATCCACTCTTAATAAACATCTTCCTTGATGTCTTCAGTCTTTACTTTTTTCAGCTTGGGTTTATTCCAATTTGATGATATCTCCTCTTTTCCATTCCTACCAAACATGAACGAGGATCTTCAAGTGCTTCACCACCACACCTGGTTTCCATATTAAATATTTTGTCAACACCCGTACAGACCCATTACTTAACATTTGATATCATAGGTGATGGCAAATCTTTTGCTGATTGATCAAAATTCTTTTTTCATCTTTGCCTTTTTTCTCTGATTTGTTCCTGAATTTTATCATTTCAGCCATTTTATCATCAAGTAAAATATTTTTACTTTTTTTAATGTTAGGATTCAATTCTGATTCATACACATCACCAGAGATAGATCCTAAATATTGGAGACTAAAGATGCACTTGTGGCAGACATTCTTTAGCAAAGAAATCTTTTTTGAATGAAGGGAAAACTGTAATAATACCTTTTTCAGGTCTGTAATAATAAAAAAGCCCAATATATACAATTGATATGGAATTCTTAAATATTTAATTCATTGATGTCAATGTTCCAAGATTCCTCTGTTATGTTCATATTGGTCATTCTTTTATCTATCTGCCAGA